AAAGAAAGAAAGAAAGAAAGGACAATGAGAGGGAGGGAGGAAAGGGATGATGGATGGAAGGAAGGAAGGAAGGAAGGAAGGAAGAATTAGAGGAAGGGGGGTAGGACAGGACAATAGGGAGGAAAGGAGGGAAAGAAAGAAAGGAAGGAAGGAAGGAAGGAAGGAAGGAAGGAAGGAAGGAAGGAAGGAAGGAAGGAAGACAGACAAAAATTTAGAACCTGGAATTGATACCTGTATTAACTTGTGGATTTTAAAAACTGTCACAAGAACATTCCCCTATATCCCACTCCCCTGTTTTCTTTCATGAGAGTGACAACATTCCAGGAAAACCTTTGGCATCTACCTAAACATTTCTTTCTGAAGAACAAGTTAACTTCCATGCTCTTCCCAAACCATGACTTAAGAAAACCCAAATGTGGCTTAGGATAACTCAAGCCATGACTGTAGAAACTCAGTCAACCAAAGTTCTTTTGGCGAACCATAGCTTAAGAAAGCCCGTCCCAAACCCCACGCTGCCTGGGACTCAACGGGAGGCGGAGAAGAGATGGGGTTGGCAGGGCCTGTCAGAGGTGGGATTTGCCGGTTCTCCGAACTACTCAAAATCCCTGCTACCGTTTCTCCAGAACTGGTCAGAACCGGCTGAATCCCACCTCTGCCCCACCCACAATGGATTCGAACTAATAAAACAACCTACCTGTCTTTTCATTCTTAGTTCTCGCTGGGTACCGATGTAGAGCAGGATTTTTAGGCCCGGGCACCAACGTTTCAGCTCCAGCTCCCACTTCAGAATGTTACAACTTCGGACGACGACAAGGTGAGGACCCCAATCCCCTGGAAAGGAAGACCAAGAAGAGAGGCTAAGAATCCACCCCTGGGTCGTATAAACAGAGGGACAGAACCAAGATCACGTGAACGACTTGTACCACTTTATAAAACTCTAGTAAGGCCATACCTGGAATACTGAAATCAATTGTGGTCACCATACTATATCATACCATAAAGATGTTGAGACTTTGGAAGGGCAACTAAGATGATCAAAGCCTTAGAGACTAAACCATATGAAGAACGGCTGCAGGTTTTGGGTCTGGCTAGACTAAAGAAGAATTGGGGGTGACATGATAGAAGTGTCCCAATGTTTGAGGGGCTGCCACAAAGAAGAGGAGGGGGTCAGCCTGTTCTCAAAAGCACCCCCAAGGCAGGACAAGAAACAACGGTTGGAAACTAATCAAGGAGGGAAGCAACCTGGAATTAAGGAGAAACTTCCTAACAGGAAGGACAATTAACCAGTGGAACAGCTTGCGACTAGAAACAATGGCTGCTCCATCACTGGTGGGTTTTAAGAAGAGACTGGACAGTCACTTGTCTGAGATGGTATAGGTTCTTCTGCTTGAACAGTGGGCTGGACTAGAAGACCTCCGATGTCCCTTCCAGCTTCTATTCTATTCTATTCTATTCTATTCTATTCTATTCTATTCTATTCTATTCTATTCTATTCTATTCCATTCCATTCCACTCCGCTACCTGGCCCGTTTACAGGACACAAGAGCACGTACCTTCGTTGCAGGCCAGGTGTGAGAAGAAGGCGATGATCTGCACCGTCTTCCCGAGGCCGGCTTCGTCGGCCAAGATGCCGTTCAGCTTCTTCTTGTACAACTTGGCCAACCAATCCAGGCCAATCTTCTGATACTCTCGGAGGGAGCCGTACAAGAGGGGAGGGGTGTTGTATTTGACCTGCAAAAAGTTGGGCAAACACATTTCTTCTTCCGCGGGACATGGTGCTGCTCTCTTCACTACCCTTGTCCTCGACTTACAACAGGTCATTTAGGGGCTGTTCCAACTGAAAAAGGGGACCTTTTGCTACACTTAGGACTGCTGCCATTGCAGCATCACCGTGGTTACAGAAATCAAAATTCAGACGCTCACATGACCATGGAGATGCTGCAACGGTCGTTAAGGGTGACAAACGGTTGTAAGTTATTTTTTTTTTTTTCAGCACTGTCGTAACTTTGACCATGTTCAGAGTTTTGCAGCGTTAATTCAGTGCCAGAAAAATAAACACAGATGGCTGATGCTTCATTTCACGTCTTTATAAACATAATAAGTAGATTTTTACAAACCAGTTGCAGATTTCTCCAACATGGAGCGAACTCAGACAGAAACATTGATGCAAGCAACTTACAGCAGCACAGAGACAGAGAGAACTTCCAATTTTACTTTAGTTCAGCAAGCAAGCAGAAGAGAGAAGCAGTTTCATCTTCAATAGACAGACTCAAAGCTGAACATAACTTCAGAACTGCAGAGCTTAATATAGAGCCACGCCTAGGCTAATTCTAGTTTCAGTTTCCAAACAGTCCTCATTGGCTGACTTAGTTACTAGGCCTCTTCATTGGCTGATCTTTTTACCAAGCTCTATTCCAGTTCATGAATATACTCTGACAGACCACTAAACAAAAGGCGGCAACTTCTTATAAAGAAAATGTATATAAAATGTTTTACGTATGGCATTTACCACTTGTGAGGTTAGCTAAAATGTTTAAAAACACGTCTAGCAAATGTTGGAAATGTAATCAAAAAATAGGCACATTTTACCATATGTGGTGGACTTGTGCTAAAACAAAACAAAAAATGGGGGGGGGGTGCAAAAATACGTAGGATGGCTAGAAAAGATAATATGGAAACATGTAGACTTTAAACCTGAACTGTGTGGTTTTTTTTTCATTAGAGATGATATCAGAAAAGTTTGATAAGAGAAGTATGTATTTGGTATTACATGTTTTAACAGCAGCGAGGATTGTCTTCACACAATATTGGAAAGATGAAGAGACACCGCGAGATGAAGAGATAATTAAGAAGATATTAGACTGTGCAGAAATGGACATACTGACACTGAAGATCAAACCGAAAGAAGACACAGAATATTATCAAACTTGGAACTTATTTTACCAGGGGTTGGAAAAAAGGGGTGGAGAGTAAGAATGGCATTCGTATTGTTAAGCAAATCAAATACCCAGGCAACACGGTGTTTATTAAGCACTAAAGGATGTAATTCATAGAAAATTAATATATATATATAAATTAATATATATTATTAAAAGGTCGTAAGTCGAGGATTGCCTGCCTACCACCAGTGAAATCAAGACCAACCCATGCAGGTGTATTTACCGCAGTGGTGATCCGGGCGCTGCCTTTTGGCAACAGAGCTTCTGCTGTGGCCGCCACTTCGGCTATATCTCGCCCACGGTTTTTGCTGGCCATCATTCTCTCGGCCCCCTTGTATTGCTCGATGCTGAGGAGAGATTCAATGGAGATGACCTCCTTTTGAAGGAGTTCCCTTTCGGCTGGATGATCTTCCATTTCTAAATAAAGAATAAATGCTTTAAAAACAAAACCTCTTGTTTTTATTGTTTTAATTAGCGAGTGCTATGCTGGATATTTTCATTCCTTCATTCATAGGCGATCTTCCATTTTTACATAAAGAATAAATGCTTTTAGTTTAGTTTATTGTCATTGCACCTTGTACAACAAAATCAAACACCATCTTCGGTGCACATCATGACCATGACTTCGAAAATAAACACAAACACACATCCTTCACCCTCCACACGTTGAACCAAAAAACCCCAACACTGCACCAATACTGCACTATACAGTAGAATTCAAAAGAGCTATTGCCCTGGGATAGAAGAAGCTGATTTTTTTGCCTATTTGTCCTTGTTTTTATTATTCTGTACCATCTGCCAGATGGTAATAGTTCAAAAAAAGGGTGCCAAGGATGAGATGGATCTTTGAGAATATTTTGAACTTTCTTAAGGCAGCGGGGGCTATAAAGCTCTTCCAAAGAGGGGTGAGGGCAACCACTGATCATCTGAGCAATGACATTAACCCTCTGGAGTGCTGTCCTATCTGCCACTGTGCAATTGGCAAACCATACACAGGTGCAATAAGTTAAGATACTCTCTTATGGTGCAGCGGTAGAAGGTCACCAGCAGTTTTTCATTCAGTTGTTGTTTTCTGAGAAGTCTCAGGTAGTCTAATCTCTGCTGGGCCCTTTTGACCAGGGCTACAATGTGAGCACCCCAGGTCAGGTCCTTTTAAAAAAGAAAAACCCTGTTTTTATCGTTTTAATGAGTGCTATGCTAGCTACTTTCATTCCTTCATTCATAGGTGATCTTCCATTTCTAAATAAAGAATAAATACTTTTTTAAAAAAAAAAACTGTTTTTATTGTTTTAATGAGTGCTATGCTAGATAATTTCATTCATTCATTCATTCATTCATTCATTCTTCATTCATCCAACTGGTATGCCACTCGTCTTGCCGAAAGCCAGTCATTGAATAAAACACTAGAACAATAAATATTTAAAAAGTCAATTTAAATAAATCTAAGCAGGATGGAGAGGGAGGGAGCAGAGCACACAGAGAGACGAGGTGGGGTGTTCTCTATCCCATCAGCCACCTCCAATGGGCCAAACCCCCATTAGGGCCACAGGCTAATTGTCTTCAAAGGCCTTTCAGAAAGCCGAAGGATGGAAGCAGATCTCAAAATGCCCCCGGAATACCTCAAAACGCCATATATACACCAAGTATTGCATTAATGGAGCTGAGTGATGGAAAGCTGAACCAATCCAGCTGGTCCCTCCTAAGAAAGCATTTGGAAAGGAAAAACTGCCAGGACATACCTTCTTCACTCGTCTCCTCTTCCGGCTTTGGCTGGGGCCAGTGAAAGTTCTCGGAGAAGGCTCCTTCGTACATCTTCACCAGATCATCCAAAGGCAGCTCAGCTACGAGCGAGATGCGGGCAAAACAAAATTAACAGAATAACAAGAGTTGGAAGGGACCTGGTAAGGTCATCTAGTCCAACCCCCCCACCCCTGACCCAAGCAGGAGACCCTGCACCATTTCTGACAGAAGGCAGTCATTTCTGGAAAGCTTGCAGTGATGATAAAGCTTCCCATAACTGCTGAAGGCAACTTCTGTTCCATTGGTTGATTTTATTTACTTTGAGGATGATGGTGATAAGCTGTCAGGGAAGGTTGCAACTAGTGATCACGTGACATAGGATCCTACGACTGTCATAAATGTCGAATATTTTCGGTTATCCAGGTAGAGTTGCCTGGAAGTTGAGTCACGACAAACTGGGTTTATTTTCTTGTTGGTTTGAGACCCTTCGCTGCCCGTCCAAGCAGCTTTTTCACTGAATGACTATTAACATATTGCCACGCACTTTGGGGAAGAGATCTGAGGTTGGTGCAGGATTACCCCCTGAGAATTTTACGAGTTGGCATGTGCCAACAACTTAAATGAGAGTATTTGCAGCTGAGGGTTAAAATGAGGACTCCTTGGTGCTCTCTCAGCTTGTTTTCTTGCAGACATTTCATTATCCAAGCTAGATAACATCATCAGTGCTAGAAGGGAGTGAAGTTTGCGGGGGGGAGGGGTGGAGGAGGAGGAAAAGGACGACGACTGTGGGGTCTTTGGTTCTCTCTGAGCTTGGAGGCTTTCTTGCAGATGTTTCATTACCTAATTTAGTAAAAGAACTACGCTCAGAGAGCACCTCGTTCCAACAACTCTCTGTCTACTCAGATTTCTCTAACCCAGGAGTCCCCAAACCGGGCCACAGCACAGTATCAGGCCATGATCTATTCAGAATCAGGCTGCACACACGCACACACAGAGAGCTCATCTTGCAGTGGAGCTGCGCGTGCGTACGCGTGCGTATGGGCCACCGCTCATGTGAGTTAAGCTGCACACGCGTTTTGAGTGCCAGACCACCACGTGGTGCGGCCCAGTTCCTCTCTCCCCGCAACTCCCCAGCTGCAGAGGTTAGGGATCGCAACTTGCCCAGACCAAAGAAGCTGCTTGGATGGGAGGCAAAAAAGTCTCAAATCAACAAGACAGTTGATGCCCACAGTTGCTGTGACTCAACTTCTGGACAACTGTTGTGAATTGTGAACTGGCTGCCAAGTGTCCAAACCACCAGAGATAGCGCTGGGATGGCTGGACTGTCGGCCGGTCGGACCCACTACACCGTCAGCACAGTCGTAACCGTGAACGAAGGCAGAATGAGGGGTTCTTAACCGAGGACTACCTATATTTTAAAACTACCTATATTTTACTACCTATATATCACATCCTGGACATAAACTGTTTCAACTCCTACCCTCAAAACGACGCTATAGAGCCCTGCACACCAGAGCAACTAGACACAAGGACAGTTTTTTCCCCGAACGCCATCCCTCTGCTAAACAAATAATTCCCTCAACGCTATCCAACTATTTACAAAGTCTGCATTACTATTATTCTTCTCATCCTTCCCATTACCTATCTCTTCCCACTTATGACTATAATTGTGTTGTTTGTATCATTACAATTTATATGGTTTTATTTAGTTTCCTAGTATGATTTAATTCTTTAGTTACCTATGACTATCACTAAGTACTGTATCTTACGATTCTTGATGAATGTATTTTTTTCTTATTATGTATAATGAGAGCATATGCACCAAAGACAAATTCCTTGTGTGTCCAATCACACTTGGCCAATAAAGAATTCTCTCCTCCTCTCCTCTCTTCTCCTCTCCTCTCCTCTCCTCTCCTCCCTTCCCTTCCCTTCCCTTCTATACTGCCCTATGGCAGTGGTTCTCAACCTTAATCCGTGGACCTCTGGGGAGGCAGCGATACCATCACAGGGGCTCCGCGAAGGCTTGAAGAAATTTTATTATTTAAATCTTGAGTTATATCTTGGGGGTTTGTGGCCACAAAAGGTATTTAAAGGGTGTCAGCGTGAAAGAAAAGTTTGAGAAACACAGCACCTGTGGAAAAACAGGGCAGCCGTCACCACACTCACCTTCCTTCACCAACGTGGACAGCTCCATCTGATGGTTGACATTCCCTTCCTTCTTTTCTTGCTCTTCTATTGTCTCCTCTTCATCTTCCACTGAAAAGAAAATGTCAGGACCACGGGTCAAGCCAAAGAGAGGAAGGAACAGCCGTATGCCAGAATATTCTACCTGCCTGCGGGCAATTTTTGTGCAAAGGGACAACGTTTACCTGTATTTTCTAAGCCAAACAATTTTATAGGCCGCTCACTTTAAGATGCCATTTTGGGTGGGTGGGTGAGTGGGCATTGCAGAGTCCTCCCTTAAAGTCGGGCTGAGGGATACAGATTTAAATTTTAGGAATTCCTTGTTATCCTATCATGTCAGGCATTACTAAACCGCTCAGACCATTATCACAATTACAGAATAGCTGTAACTTTTGCATCCAGAAATTTTACAGTTATTTTAGAAATTCCAATGGGATTTGCAAAGGCATCCCTTCAAGCTGAAACCACCTTACGTTTTTTCAAGTTGTTTTTTTTTTTTTAAGCTGCTTTTTTAGGTAAATCGAAAGCAGCAAATCTGTTAGGAAGGATATTTCTGGGCCATTGTTTTGCTTCATTTCTTTCTCTCCGATACAGCAGGTACTTTGAGATATCACAGCCTCAAAGGAATACAGCCCGGCCTCCTCTATCTTAATGTCACATCAATAAATATAGCTGCATCATATATATTAAATAGTGAACTCCATTACTTGATAGGGGCCATCTTTATATATCTAGCATGGCCAACTCAAAGTATTATTAAATCTCACAATTTAGAGAATGCAGCTTTTTTTAATTTTTGAGTGGAGGGAAGAACTACATCAGCCATGCAAGAATAGTCGAGAAGGCTTCGTCAAAGAATTCTGGTTGATTCTTGAGGGAGTGAAAGCAGAACAGTATTTTCCCTTTGGAATTAAAACAGAATCCCAAACTGGAGCTGTACTATTTTGTTTCAGTCCCAAAGGTGTTTTATTTTTTTTCCAAGAGGCAACTGGACTTCCTTGTTTTGTCTTTGAAGATGTTTCGTTTCTCATCCAGGAAGCTTCTTCAGCTCTGATTGGATGGGTGGCAAATGGAAGGATTTATATTGTTTGCGGACAGCTGGTCATTTGCATCCTTTTAGAGAGTTGTTGAGGCCACTTGGAGATTGTTTGTATCCCCAGGGTCACCTGAGTGGTGCAAATGGGTGTAGAGCCTTCTTGGAACTGCTGAAAGGACTGTGTTGTAGACTGGAGATAGACAATGTCGTATCCTTCCCTCTCTGTTGAGAGGGGCCTGTTCAATTTTGACACCGATGGCCTCGTTGACCCTTCTTTCAAGCCAGCGGTCCTCTCTGTCCAAAATGCGGACTTTGCTGTCTTCCTAGGAGTGGCCAGTCAAAGCTGAAGAAGCATCTTGGATGAGAAGCGAAACGTCTTCAAAGACAAACAAGGAGGTCCAGCTGCCTCCTGAAAAAGCCCCTTTGAGAATCTCCATACGTATTTTGGTTCAGGTTTCACATCTTCTGGCACGCGGGTGGAGCAATGCTTAGTAGGTGAGATGAAAAAGGGTGCATCACAACCCAGGACCAACCTTCGTCGTCTGTTAGAGACATGCTTGCTTTTCTTTTTCTTCTACAGGACCACGAACCCTACAAAATGAAGATGTATGTATCAATGTTGTGCGCCTGTTTTGGAAGAGTCCTTTGCACTAGCCCTTTCACACATGACTTATTGTTAATTACCTTAAAGGAGAAACAGAACAGGACCAAACCACCCCAAAATTGTAAAGATGAGGATGAGGAAGATCTCCATCAGGTGCCACCCCCTCACCCCCCATGGAAAACAACTGCCTACCACAGCAGACATTATTGAAAGAGACTGACATATAGGTAGTTTTGATTTTAACCAGCTTTCTTCTTCAAAAATTATTAAAGGAAACTGACCAACAATGGCTTTGTGTTATACATCTTCCCACTATATTCCTTACGTACAAGAAAGCTGTTTCCTGGAAGCAGATCTACCACTCTCTAAATATACTTCTTGAAAAATTGTAATCTCAATATCAAACATGCAATACGTCCAGAGTTATCAACAGGGAGACAGGAGGAAAAAAAATCCCTTACCGATTTGTTTCCTTTTTCCAGAAGGATGTCCTCTAAGTGCCTCGAATCTTTACCTGCAAAACGCACCTTTTAAGTCAACCAACTAAATATATTAACCTAGCATGTTAATTCGGCCGGGAGCAAGAAAATAAACCCAGTGAAAAGATAACGTTTAGAAAAGAATGGAGCTGGAAGGGCCCTTGGAGGTCTTCTAGTCCAGCCCCCTGCTCAAGCAGGAGACCCTATACCATTTCAGACAGGTGACTGTCCAATCTCTTCTTCAAAACCTTCAGTGATGAAGCACCCACAACTTCTGGTGGCGGGCTGTTCCACTGGTTAATTGTCCTCATTGTTAGGAAAGTTTCTCCTTAATTCCAGGTTGCTTCTTTCATGCTCCTGTTAGGATCTGACTCTGAGGGAGAGGAGGTACAGCCGACAGGGAGTGGGAGGTTGTGGAGGAAACTGGGGAAGGGCACAGGCCACCTGGGCATTCAGAGGAAGACCCAGGCCCATGTCCTCTTCATTCTAGAGCACGCAGGGAGGAGTGGATCAGGGAGAAATGTGAATAGCGTGGTCTACGGGGGAGGAAAGGGCCCTGATCCCCTTCATGGGCTGCCACTGTGAGGATTGTTTAAAAGGACAAACTGTGCATGGCCCAGCACTGGAAGCAAAATGTGCATTATTCTTGTCGGACCTTGTCTGTGTTTTGGCTTTCTCCCAATTGTGGTTGCTGCGTTATCTCGTAGAAGTCTGCAATTAATCATCCTTGCCTGCTGTAGTAATTCCTTCAGTGTGGTTTGTGTTGGGTTTTTTTATTTCGAATTAACTTTGGGTGAGGACTGCATTTACTCCCTCCGTAAACTGTTTTCTTTGAAAGTTTGATTTCCAGCCGAGGATAATTGGACATTGGGGCCAAGTTGGAGGCATTAAAGGAAATTTATTCTATTTTTGTGACTTGGTTATTTTTGTGGCATGTCCCGGGTCATCACAGCTTCCCTCTTCCCTCCCTTAGTTTCCAACATTACATATTCCCACCACGGGGCAAATGGGCTCAGATCAAAGCTTTGGTGAGGCCCCTTTGCAAGGACGGATAAAAGGATATCACAGGGAGCCCTCGGCTTACAACAGTTCATAGAGTGACTGTTCAAAGCTGCAATGGCAATGGAAAACAGTGACTGAGGACTGTCTTTCACATTTACGACCAGCGCAGCAGCATCCCCCTAGTCACATGATCAAAATTCAGAGGCTTGGCCACTGGGTCGTATTTATGACAGTTTGCAGTGGTCACGTGATCCCCTTTTGCGACCTTCTGATGAGCAAAGCCAATGAGGAAGCCAGATTCGCTTAACGACCGTGTGACTAAATTAACAACTGCAGTGACTCTCTGAACCGCTGCGACAAGAAAGGTTGTAAAAACGGGGCAAAATTCACATAACGAACCTTTCGCTTAGCAATGGAAATTTTGGGCTCCATTGTGGTTGTAAGTAGAAGACTACACGTATACTCTGATCGATTTAGTCTGTCACCCACTAACCTCTGTTCTGATCCTAACCAAAATTGGAACTCAAGGATTACCTGCAGTTCAGAATATATAGCACGGGGACCACATATGGTGAGAATAGAAACAGGTTTCAGGCAGAATTATTTTTTTAAAAAATGAAACCCAACGAATCCAGCTTTCCACTTAAAATCATGCCTAATAAACAAGGGGGGGAAAATGAAATGCGCCCCAAAGTTAAAATAATAAACTAGGACGAAGGGATACCAGGATCATTGCAGCCCAGCAGGATCTGACAATTTTAAAAGAGTTCTTTTTTAAAAAGCCACTCTTAACACTGAGCAAGAATGTGTTTTCTGGTTTGCAAAACGACACCACCCTGATGACATCACCTAGTTTGGTAATGAAACGTCTGCAGGAAAAGCCCCCAGCTCAGAGAGCACCAAGGACACCCCTCCGCCAACCCCGCAGCTTCCGAGCCTGCAATATTGCAACCTCCCATTGTAACAAGCGACAGGGAAAGTACCTTTCTTGGCTCGCCTTTTTAAATTCAGGGCTTTCCTCCTTTTCTCTTGAAATTCAATCTGTAGCTTTATTTCCACCACCTGAAAGACAGAAAAACAGAAATAGATTTATAACCTCGCTTGTTAATTACGACGATGATGACTTTGCTTTACGTCGCCTATGTGTCACGGGGACAAACCTGGCAGGGAAAGTGAATTGAGGGGCCTAAAGCAGCAGCATTCAGGTAAGGGGTCTTTCTAAGGTGACTATTTCACCTTAGAAAGAATCTTCTAACGAGAGGAAGAGATAATCTCAAGGCCACGTAACCCAGACTCTGTTTTCACCTTTCTCAGTCAAAATGATCTCTACCTGCTTAAGGTATGCAAGGATTAATGGTTTTATTAACAAGGGGAGATCCTTGAGTAGGGACAGAGTGATCTTCCCTCCTGCCAGACAAAGGAACTGCAACAACTTTGTGCAAAATGCTTCTTGGGTTAAAATTCTCAGCAAACTCTCGAAACTGCACACACCTCAGAGAAGCTGGGAAGTTGAATGTCAAAGCTACATGCAGTTTTCTGGACCGACAAGGACTATAAAATGTGAATTTCTAGGTGCCAGGGTTCATCCAGGGTCACCAGAATACCATCCCAGGGAGCAAATTGTTTCCCTTCTCCGCACGAAGGTTTCAAAAATGGCTGGCAAAGAAAGAGGATTACCTGTTCAATATTAGACCAGAAATATTCTATTTCTCTGGCAATTGTAGCAGCGATACGTCTTAGCTTGGTCTTCTCTTCCTTCTTCGCCCTCTCTGCATTGAGGTGTTTCTCTTCGTGGTAGCGAGCCACTGTTCTGACCATCTAACGTAAAAAGTTAAAAGGATTGCTAGACAGTGGGACCTTCCATCAATTTATTACCGCTCTGGCTTTTATAGCTATAAAATGTTTTGACGGGCATTTTATATGCTCATTTTTGTGAATTTTTCATGCATTCCTGGTGCATTCTGTGACACCATACGAAATATATATATATATAAAACTTTGTCCACATGAAAAAGCCAGCCATTTTTTTTGCATTAATAATTAACTTTTCCAAAGTTCCCATATAACAATGGTTTAACTAATCCAGAACTGACTATAGCAGCTTCCTTCATCTAGCACACATCATCTGCCTGAATTTTTTAATTCGCAGAATACCTCAGCTCCCGTGATTCTTCCTAGCTAAGGAATTCTAGGAATTGCAGTAGTAATACTGGGATTTTTTTCTGAGCTTGGCAACTTTAAGGTGTGTGGACTTCAACTCCCAGCATTCCCCAGCCAGATTTTCCTGAATGTGTAAAGATGCCTCTCTATGCTAGTCTGTGTCTACTCGGGAAGCTTTTAAATTATTATCTGGATTTCTTTTAAAATATTAAATTGAACACTAATACTTGCTTTGCGTTGGTTCTCGACAGTTCACCTGAACAAAAAGACTGGGAATAAACCGAATGGATGCCTTGTATGTGTTTGATCCATGCGTGCATGGGATAAAATGCCCAGGTAGGTTTGCTCAGGAGCTGCATCCTGGATAACATCAACAGGAACAGCTCATAAAGCATTGCTGGTGATCGTGAAAAGTTCTGCTATCTATGTCCTGATACAAATAGATATCTCTTGGATTATGTGCAGCAACCCAATCTATCTCTAACCAATCTCTTCTACTTTGGCATGCCGTTATTCAACAGTTCGTGGCTAGTTACCTAGTGCCTCCATTATGTTTGAACCAGAAAACCAGGGTGGATTAAAAAAAAAAAACACGATTTCTTAAATTAAAAAAAAATCAGATTTATTTTATTTAAATCGGATTTATTTGTCAAATTTATTTCAATAAAATACTTTTGGAGTAAAAAAAAAATTCTTTCTAAAGGTCATTTTTCTATTTTAGATTATTTTAGTTTATTCAGCATGGAGTGGAGCTTAAGTTATGTAGCATGAGGCTGTATATTCTTGCAATATTTACATTTTGGGTAAACTCATTCAATGAATCCAGGCTCTGCAAAGCTAAATAGGAAACCTTCATTTTGTTTGCAAATAATAACATGAAATTTCTAATGACCAGCAAGAATGAGTCCTTATATTTAAAGAGCGCCTGTCATTTCAGACCCACCGTGGCAGGGCCCGTTAGTGGGCATCCACACACTTGCTGCCAGCCACTTCCCCTTCCTTGTTGTGTCCCGGGTGCATCACCAGCTGTCGCATTAAAGTGAATGGGACTGTCGGTGAGTCAACAGCGGGTCGGAGGAGGAGCTGCTGTGGGACAGAGATGACCGTGGCTCTTTGATTTGATTTAAATCAAGCCTTTCTACTAGCGATTTAAATCGATTTGATTTAAATCATATCCACCCTGCAAAAAAACTATGGTTGTTAAAGCCCAAACACGTGAGGAACCTGGTTTGTTACACGCTTCTTCATTCTGGGTTTTGCTAAAGGGATTACAAACAGCTGTGATCCAGACCTTCTTGGCAGTGGCCATCTTCCATCGTCTTTCTTGGGCAAAATCCGTGGCCATCCATTGCATCTCCTCCAGGAGGTAATCCCACTGGGATTTGGGCCTGGAGGCCTCCTGGAGTTTGGGCAATCGTCTCAGGGACCACAAGCCTTCTTTTCTCAGCTCCGCGATGCGCTGGTGAACTTGGTTTTCCTTGTGGGAGCAAACAAGGGGAATGTCAACTCATAAAATATTTCTTTGGTCTTTTTAGAGTTGCCAACAGAAAGGGGGGGGGGAAAGGGGTTTGAAAGAGCAGTGCGGCAGCTTGGAGATCGAAAGCGCCTTCCATACATATTTTTTCAAAGATAGTAACTAGGTGACTGAAGTTTCTGTCACACAAATATTTAACTGGAGAACATGATTTGGTGACTCTTGGCTATGGAAGTGTCCCATTGGAGAATATGAATGATGATACACCCAGGGGGTGGGTGAGGAAACCAGGGTCAAGGGCGACAATGAATGATGTCTCCAAGAGTCGGGTACAACCAGGCAATGCCGGACAGGTTAACTCCCAATAAATCATTTTTAAGTTTTGGAAGTTAAAATGACCGGGTGGTTGGCACACAGCTAGTTATCGCTTGAGGAAAACACATTGTTCAGGTTAGGGTTGGAAGAGATAGAAAAACTCTCACCAACTTCACTTGTTCGGCCAACTTCTCGTGTGTGCTATCCTGAGGCAGGGCTGCTGCGGTATTTTGTGTTGTGTTCTGAGTTTTGGGGGTTGCTGCCACGGCCAGCCCTGGTGGTTTGGAGGCCACAGGAGAGGCTGACTTAGTTGATCCTGGCGAGGACCGGTTGGCTTGGGTTGAGTGCGTGGTTTGCGGGGCAGGGTTGGAACCAGAAGTTGGCGGGTTGCTTGAGGTAGGAGGAACCACGTTAGCTGAAATACGCTGGGAGTTTTGGTTAGAGTCGGATGAAGGACGAGACAGAGTTGTGATCTATGTAGAACACACATAGATTAGGATACAAGATTAGAATAACAAATAGCTTCAAGAGATTAACCACCTTCTGTTTTAGAGTAGAAGTCAAACAGAAAACAAAAACACGAATTCACCCTTTAGGATACAAGATTAGAAAAACAAATAGTTTCAATAGTTTCATCTTTTTTTAAGAGTAGAAGTCAAACAGAAAATAAAATATATGAATTCACTCTTTAGGATACAAGATTAGAAAAACAAATAGCTTCAAGAGATAAACCATATTCCGTTTTAGAGTAGCGGTCAAAAAGAAATACACAAATTCACCTCTGTTGAAAGGAAGCGTTAACGCTCTGCTCTTGGATCTGGATAGTTTAAGTCTGTTAATTTTTGTACACAATGAGGTCTCTAGTTACGAATGGAAGAATGTGCACAATCTCACAACTGTACACCTTTATCCTTTTCAAAGAGGCGTTGTACACCTGTACACCTGGCACAACTGTCTGCCGTTATCCCTTTTTAAGAGGCATTGTCAATGTGAGTTTGGAGCGACACATTCCAAACTCGCATTTGCAAGGCCTCTTAGAAAAGCATAACTGACCGAGAATCCAGAATGCCAGCTAAGTTTTGCCTTTAATGCCGTTTTCCTAAACCCTTTAGATTTGACCTTGCAAGGTCATTCATATTTCTATCTTTTTTTTTAAAGGTTGAACAACCGGTTCGGTGGATCACGTGATTTGCGTGTGCAGCACTCAAGTAACACAGCTGAGAAGTGGGCAATCCACCTGCGCAGCGCTAATCAGCTGAGACGATCTAGGTAGGTGGGTGGGCCTACATGATAGTCGCAGAGAAATGGTTCGCTGCCAGCTGATTTTCGCGGCAAACGGCTCGGCCGAACCAGTCTGAACCGGTTCAAATCCCACCCCTGCTTTTACTCTTCAAAACCGAATTTCAACCCCGACTCAAAGGCCAAAGAATCGGATCTGCCTACCTGCTGTGGGGTTGGAGTTTGAGAGGACACAACCTGGGAGGGGGTCATTGGCCCCGGTCCGTGGGCTGCCGGCTGCCCTTGTGGGTGTGACGGCGCTTGAACCTGGCCGTGGGACACAGCAGCAGCGGCGGTGACCGTCACGTTTTGGGGCGGAGCCTTCACGTGAATTGCCGCTTGTTGCACGGGGGGGTCGTTCATCTGAGCCGCTTGGGGCGCCAGCTGCAGCGTTGGCGGGAGAGAGCTGATGGGCACGTTGGTGGGCTGCAGTCTGCCGGGCAGCTGAGGCGGTGGGGTGTGGAGACTGGCTGCATTCTGCACTGGGGGACCTTTGGAAGGGTCGTACTGTTGTTGGCTCTGCTTCTGACCCATCAGCTGCACAGTTTGAGGGGTGGGAGGCATTCCACCTGCAAAGCAAGGAAACACAAGCATTAAGGGAGTCAAAGCCTATAGAGAGTCCCCGTCATCCAGGTCGTGGTTTGTCCCAAAGGTTCTTTTCGAAAAGGCAACCGGGCTTTTCGAGTGTTTCTTGGAAGACATTTCGCTTCTCATCCAAGAAGCTTCTTCAGTTCTGACTGGGTGGTGAGGAACGGAAGGATTTATACTCCTTTCAGACATTAGCATCCTTTTAGAGAGTTGTTCAGACCACTGGGAGGTTTATCTGTGTCCTCAGGGTCTCACCTGAGTGGTGCGAATGGTGTGAAGCCTTTTTGGAACTGTTGAAAGGACTGTGTTGTAGATTGGAGAAAGAGGATGTCACATCCCACCTGATGATGCATATAAACCTCCAGGTGGCCTCAACAACCCACTAAAAGGATGCAAATGACCAGCTGTCTGCAAGAAGTATAAATCCTTCCATTCCCCACCATCCAGTCAGAGCTGAAGAAACCTCTTGGATGAGAAGCGAAACGACTTCAAAGGAAAAACCAGAAAGTCCAGTTGCCTCTGGAAAAAGCACCTTTGGGATAAGGGATCCAAAGGCTCAAAAGCCTATAATGGTAGCATGCCAGGGCAGAGTGAAATGTTTGCCTGTTTACTTACTTGGCCAACTCAAGGAAATACAACCACAAACATACATAAACTCGGTTAGCTAAATAAATCACCGTTCGTCACAAATCAGCAAAGTCAAAGTCACTGGGGAATCCCAGCCAGGGAAAACACCGACATCAGCGTGTCGCCAGGTTAGGAAGAATTGGCGGAGTGACTCGAACCACGGAAAGCAACCTCGCGATGAACTGAAGGACTAAAGGGTCAATAGGCAGTTGCGAAACAAAAAAAACGAACACGAAAGGGAAATGGAAGCACTAAAGGTCCGTTAAAAAGAAAAATAACAACTACCGGGGTGGGGTGTCCCAGAACTATATTATTTTGGTCTCAACGTGCATGAGGGGGTGTGTTGTTTTTTTTCCATGCCCGCATGCATCGCTCGAGCTCGTATTTTCCCGGCTCTTTTTGACATGAACAAGCCACTTCGTGCCGCAGTTTAATTTGCAAGGGGTTGGGGGGGCGGGGGGCAGAACCAGAGAGCTCCACAACAATCATTTTTTAAAAAATAAAATTCTAGCGGGCTTCTGCTTCCCTCGCCCCCAACCCCTTTGCTAAATTAATCTGCGGCTGGCATGTGGCAACACAGTACCTTGTGCAGTTGGCATGAGCTGTTGAAGAGGGACTCCTGAAGCCACGCCCGGATGCTGAAAAACCATCCCATGACGGCCCACTTCAATTCGGGGTCTCTTAGACGAATCTGGTGATATTCAAATTCCATTTATAAGTGCACAAGGGGGGTGGGAGGGGGGGTGTCAGGTTATACGGTTTGCAACGGTGCTCCCTGGGAGCTTTAAACGTTGATATGAGGAGCCGTGGTGGCGCAGTGGTTAGAGCGCAGTACTGCAGGCTACTTCTGCTGACTGCCAGCTGCCTGCAATTTGGCAGATCAAATCTCACCAGGCTCAAGGTTGATTCAGCCTTCCCTCTTTCCGAGGTGGGTGAAATGAGGAGACTCAGATTGTTGGGGGCAAGAGGCTGACTCTGTAAACCGCTTAGTGAGGGCTGTAAAGTGGCATACAAAGTGCTATTGCTATCTACAAGCCCACCAGGAGAGAGTTTGGTCCTAAAAGAGAGTTTAGAAATATTTTGATGTTGCTGGGTTTCTTTTCTTGTTTTTTCTTTAAATAAATGCTATGAAAGGGCGGCACGGTTGAAGAATGTTGTTTCTCAAATATGGCTGCTGGGGGGGGTGGGGGGGAACCTGATATCATGGGGCTTTCCATCCCAAGAGACGGGCCAAATGGTTTGGCACCGTGATGAAGTTCAGGAGAGCAATTTTAAAGAAGTGCAAACTGAATCCGTCTTTTGGGTAGAGAGCCTAAAGGGACTGTAAATGCTCTGGAGGAGGAGGAAGAGGAAGGAGGAGGAGGAGGGAGGAGGGAGGAGGGAGGAGGGAGGAGGGAGGAGGAGGAGGAGGAGGAGGAGGAGGAGGCCATACCTGCTGATGTAAGGGCTTGCTGTCTCTTAAAGGCTTCGATTTCTATGGCATTCACAGTTCCCGTTACTGCAGTCCCTGCATGCACCTGCTATTAGTAAAACAAAACAGGAAAGTCAACAGTCTGTGAGTGGAAGACAGGGGTTTTTTTTTCTAAAAGGGCACATCACCCTTGTTTTTAAAGAATCTACAGCTGGGGTCCCCAAAGTGTCCGTGAAGTGGCACCGGTCCGCGGCATGCCAGAAATTGGGCCGTGCAAACAAGTGAAGCCCCATCCATCAAAGAAGGCAGCACACGAAAACCAGGCCTCCTCGGAAGGTCCACGGAAAAAACTCTCTCCACGGAACCAGTCCCTGGTGCCCAAAAGGTTGAATTTTGGTGGAAAGAATTTGAGCTTTTTTTTTTTTTTACTTATTTATTTCCAAAGGTTTGCCTTTGTATCCCTTTGGCAACGATCCTTTTAATCGCAAATATAAAAAGCTGCCAAAAGCCAAATCTATGTGGCAGTTGGTTGGGTCTCTCTTTCCTAATAATACAATATGCGAACAGCTTCCTCTCTCTCCAGTCTTTCACCTTCGTATTTCTACCATTACGGTCTAATCAACTGGTCCTGTATTTTGCATTACAAACATATCTATCAGAGCTCAATGCTTGCAGGAATACAGGTGTGGCTTTCTCCAAAATTCAATATGTTGATTTGTCTCCTGTTTCTCTCATCTATAATCGCGCAACGGACATTACCTATCACTTCTCCACTTCTGCCTATATAAGAAACACTATCTCAATACTCACGCTTCGCTATGAAACTATGAGGTTGGGCTTAGTTTTTGAGAAGGAAAATAAGGGGAAAGAAATTCTGCCTGTGCCTACCAGCATCTATCAGTATTCATCTGGCTAGCATCCAGTCAGTGTGTTTGGAAACTGAAACAGTATTTGCTGTGTGAGCAAAAAGGAGACAGCAAGGAGCCTGGATGTGGCTTAGCTCAACTGTTCTGTACTAAAACTGATCGGTGTTGCGAAACTAAAACTGAGACTCCTCTCCTCTGCTTGTGTTTTGCATTTGGAAGAGATTTCTTTTCAGGTGGGGAAGGGGAGTAGAACTCCTTAGCATCAGAGTGTGTTAATAATAATACTATACGAAATATTAATGCTCTGATGGTCATTTTGAAAAATCCTTTCTTAGTGAGCACCTAGAAGCCAAGAGGAACATAGGTGCCAAATTTCAAGTTTGTAAGCTTTACGGTTCTGGAATTTTACGATGATGCGTGAGTGGTATTTTGCTTTTATATATATAGAATTAAGCAATTTGCCATTACACTGTTACTAAAAATAATTTAACGCACATAGAGTTCCCTCCAGTTCCCAATGCAAGTTCCTGTCTTATTAATGTTTTTCTGAGCCACTGACATTTGGTCTCCTATATCTAGGAAGCCCATATCTTGTCACTGATTTGGCAATGAACACCGGCACTTTTATAAGGGGTGTGGGATTACGTAGTAGAGGAGCGGGATGCGTCCATGAAATGATACTAAATGCCCATCCTGTCCTGCATCTTCATTTCCCCACCACCAATAAGCAGTAAAAAGATTGTACTTGATACTTTGCAAGATGACAAGGCAGCGGTTTTCCCCACTCTGGTACCCAAGGAAGAGGTGTTTTGCCATTATGCATAGAGCATCTGTTTAACCATCTAGTTATCACCATGAAGTCTCTTTGACTAATTATCCTTTAAAGACATATTTATAGTAAATAGGATGTCTACTAATACAGTCTTTTAGACCTGCATTCAATGTTTAATCTGCTGTGGTGCACCACCCTGAGGCGCCTTGAGTGTATAAATTTGCTAAAATAAAATCAATAATCTAGCTTGGAGGGAAGAAACTAAGCTTTGTCACGTTCATTGGGAGATATATACTAAGCCTATTTCAGATACATTGAAAACCAATATAAATTCTCATAAATAAATAAACTGATAAACTAAACAAACAAACAGATAGGAAAGCATATCTCCTCAGTTCTTTCCCCTGGATAAAGGCCTCTGCATTAATCAGAGCTTGTCGTTTCTTAATTGTAGAAGCAAAAGCCTACTCTGAGTAAGGAAACAGAACCGAGAAAGGCAATATCGCCTGACATTTCTACTGGTCTTACTTATTAATCAAGAATCTGCTGGCTATTACTTATTGATTTGAAACATTGATAGAGCTGCCCCTTCTCATAACAAACTCTGGGTGGCTCCCACTCAGAAATGAAAATAACGTACAGAATTTAAGTAAGATATGAAAATGAAAATAAGTAAACACTATTTTTTTGAATGTCTAGGTGCCTCGTGTGACGTTTAAAAAAAAAAGCAACTTTAATATATGAGTATCTAGTTATCTAAAACAGGGTCGCCAACCGTAGCAGCTTTAAGCCTGGTGGATTTTAAGCAAAGCTGGCTGGGGAATTCTGGGAGTTGAAGTCCTCCAGACTTAAAGTTGCCAAGGGTACATTTTTGGGGGGTCCCAGAGGTCCTGTAGGGAGGATAGACCAACGTCGGGTGGAGGTTTCGGGACTCATCTGGAAGGAAATGGGACATTTTCTGCCCATGCTTCTGGACATGAAAATGTCTCTCTGTAGCCCTTTTGGGAATACACTCAACTCATGTTCTCAAAATGCCAAATACGAGACAGATAAGTGAATTTTGCCCCCATTTTACGTCCCTTTCTTGCCACCGTTGTTAAGTGAGTCACTGCAGTTGTTAAGTCAGGAACGGGGCTGTAAAGTTAATCTGCCCTCCTTGTCAGGTCGCAAAAGGTGTGTGTGTGTGTGTGTGTGTGTGTGTGTGTGTGTGTCACATGACCCCAAGACACCATCATAAAGATAAGTCAACTGCCAAATGACTGAATTTTTGATCACGGGATCCTGGGGAGGCTGCAACGGTCATTAAGTGTGGAAAAACGATCTCAAGTCACTTCCCCCCCCCACCCCCAGTGCCATTGTAACTTCGGTTGCTAAACAAACTGTCGTAACTCGAGGACTACCTGTATCTCTCTGGCCTAAGAGCAAAACACAGTTTGAGAGCATCATTGCCTAAAACCTAGATGCCAAAGCGTCTCCTGTGCCAGGAAGACAGACCAGTCCTAGGTTTAAAAAAGTCTCCTTTTTATAACACTCAACCACGGCTCGTCATTAGTACCGAATCAAAGTATTACTGATTCACATGCTGCAAACTCCATGCTTGCTTCGTAGCACTTACAATTAACCCGGCAATAATGTAATGCATACAATTCGCATGCCGCTGTGGACTCTAGAAAGTGTGCTAGCTCAACCTGAACCAGAGAGAAAGAAGGCACGATAGCAAACTCCTCGTTTTGGTAGGTTAGCATTTGGGGACGACCACCAAGTCCCCCCAAAAATCGAATTTTTAGAAAGATTCCACAAACACACACACATAGAAAGAGAGAGAGAGAGAAAGAGAGAGACCCACAGTTACCAGGTAGAACATACAAAGGAACCAAAGGACAAGCAAACCAAAGGTGGAACATGTTAAAAAGCTGAAAGTTAATGAAATCAGCCAGCAACTTTGAGACAAGTTAAATAAAATAAACAAACAAAATCTTTCTTGGTATCCCATTAACACTCCATGCATTTGAAAAGTTCAAAAGTTTTTTACTGCTCATTTTTCTAGAACGAGAAGGGATGGGCTGTTGGGAGGAGGAAGAGGAAAAAAAATACAGACCACTTTCCATTACCAAATCTGACTGAGCAAAAATAATGATTATCGTTATTATTTTTTATCATCATCATCATCATCATCATCATGTGGGATGGAACTCAAGAGTTTAAATCCATTGAAAAAAGTACCTGGAATGGTTGCTGCTGAGTTGAAAAAGCAGCAGAAACATTTGGAGGAAGCTGGGTTGCTATAGCAACAGGAGTACCAGTCTGCCCATCCTTTCCTGTCACAACCTTTACCTGAGAGAAGATATTTTGGGAAAGGGGGGGGAGGGGGAACAAAAAGGGAAATCATTTTTTCTTTCATTCTCTCTCTCTTTTTTTTTTAATTCCAAAAAGAAAAATATGATCAAAGCATCCCGCTTTGCGTTAGAGCAACAGGATGGAGAACGAAAGGCGTTAACGTCATTTAACTCTGGATTATTTTTGTTTAAAAGAGTATTTTGTTTTGCAAATGAAGGCAAAAGTTTTGTTGTGGTGGGTTGTTGTTGCTGTTGTTTTCGGTTATATATCAAAATAGAGTGAGGGACGAACATAGCATGGGAATTTTTTTTTTTCTCCCTCTGGCCATGCAAAAAAAAGTCTAAGTTGAAATTGCATGTAGACATTAGCGTGGGTTAAAGTCCTGAGATCTTGGCTTTCTCACAAACGACAACATTAGCGTGACAGACAGTTGACAACTCAGAAAAGCCCCCAGACATTTATTAAGCAATGAGGGTACAACCTCCCGTTCCCTGCCAGCCCACCAACCATCACCATTCCCACAACCTAGGCGAGCGATGAGGTGTGTTGCTTGAGCTTAGCAGAAGATGGTGAAGAAGAGAAGGACATTACAATATACAAAGTGAAGGAAGAGACACTGGGATAGCTTCGGGGTCGATGTGTCGCACACGATCGTTGCCTGACTGGACAAGTTGGGTGCTTTGTGGTTTTGTGAAAGCTTTTCCTAAACCCTGTGAGGTCCTTGACGTTCTCCGAACTCGGTGGCTAGTTTGCAGGCGTTTTGCAACTCAACTCGGTAACATCATCAGTGTTACAAGGGAGTGGGGTTCGCTCTCTTTTGTATACAGCTGGTCTTCTACTTAAAGGGACACGGGGGCTCCGTGGCTAAGACGCTGAGCATGTCGATCAGAAAGATCGGCAGTTTGTCAGTTCGAATCCCTAGCGCTGTGTAATGGAGTGAGCTCCCGTTACTTATCCCAGCTTCTGCCAACCTACCAGTTCGAAAGCATGTAAAAAATGCAAGTAGCAAAACAGGGACCACTTTGGTGGGAAGGGAACCGCGTTCTGTGCGCCTTCGGCATTTAGTCCTGCCGGCCATGAGACCACAGAGACGTCTTCGGACAGCGCTGGCTCTTTGGCTTGTAACGGAGATGAGCACCAGCGCCCCCTAGAGCCGGAAACGACTAGCACGTAGGTGCCAGGTGAAGTTTTACCTTTAGTCTTCTTACGACCACCATGGAGCCCAACATTTCTGTTGTTCAGTGGGACTTTTATTCAAGTGACTTTTGCCCCGTTTTACGACTTTTCTTGCAGCAGGGAATCACTGCAGGGGGAATCACATGCCCTTGGGACATAGCAACGGTCGTAAGTATGAACCGGTTGCCAAGCGTCTGAATTTTGATTACATGATCAATAGCTAAAGTAAAGGTAAAGTAAAGTTGAAGATTACCTATATACTAGTGGCTTGCCCTGTAAGTATTGGTGGGAGTGGTCTCTGTGATTCCTTGATAAGGCTGTTGTTTACAGTTTGATTCTTTGTCCAGGTGGATAGTTCCTGGATTGGAGTATTATTTACAGCTTGATTGTTGGTAAACAACAGCCTAATCAAGAAGCCATCAAAGACATTCCCACCATCACTGACAGGGCAAGTGACTAATAGATAAGACGACAGCAAACACCTCTCCCTTCTAGCACTGATGACGTTCCCTAGTTGGGTCATGAAACATCTGCAAGAAAACAACCAAGCTCAGAGAACACCAAAATCTCACAGTTCAACTCTGAGCTACAAGTATTCCCTTCTAATTTTCCTAAATCCCTTTAGACCATTTTTGACTCCCCCCTTACTGACCTATGAACAGAATTTCCAAAATGAGCATAAACGTGTAAGAAACATTTAGCTGGATATCTCATAGAGACCAAAAACATTTGCCCAGTCCGACTAAACAACAACTGCATCAAATAAAGATTACTTGCAGATTAAAAATGGGAAGCAAATGCCTGTGTGTCACAAAAATCCAACAACTGCATAAATTTAATAGACCATTAAAAAAATATGCCTTGGGGGATAGAGACAGTTAAAAGCCATTCTTTTAAATTGTCACAATGAATAGAAAACAGCTTCATTAATTTTGTCCAGAAAAGCTAGGGGTTTTTTTCTTTTGTTGCAGCTCACCTTTCTCAGGTGAACAGATTTTAACAGGACTTTCCCAATACCTGCTTTTAAAACACGGAGCCTTTGCCTAAATATTAAGTTTAAAATCAAACAAAGGCGCATTACATCGATGTGATAGGTTCTCCTGGCTTTATTAATTCAGCAGCACAAAATAATTAATTTCCTGTGTGATGGAGATACAGCATTTATTACCTTCTGAATATTTATTATGCCTAATGAACAATCCATCTAATTTGAAAGCCTGCTCTCCCTTCAATATCCCTAGTTTTTTAGGAACACGGCCATTATCACTGTGATGAAGGCAACCATTCTATTAATTTATAATGCTACAATTATACTCACTACTTTTTATTAAAACCAAATCTGCCATAATTTAAACCTCTCTCAGGAAATGGTGCCTGCAAGTCCAAATCCATATATTCTATATTTTTAATAAAGTTAAACAGCAATTGAGTCAATTTACAAAGCTTCAAAAAAAAAAAATAAATCTCAGAAAACAACTTTTTGTTATAAATGGATGACACCCCAACCTGGAATTGTAGAACATCAACTATTAGTAAAATTCCAATCAAAGATTTCTCTCTTCATAAAGCTGTGTATGAGGACCCACAGTTCAGAATAAAAGATTGTTTATACAAGTTTATACAGTTTTACAATTAACTAGGAGTAGATAACAAACACCAGTTTATAAAATGTTAACATGTTTTAACTTTAGGTTGCAATTCTCAACTGTAACTACTTTTGATTGCAATTCTGTATAGAATTATCTAACAAGAAGTCTCACTAAATTCAAACAGGGCATGGAAGGAATTACATTAAAAAAATTTTACTTTCAGGAAAAAAAAGCTGGAGATTGGACATTTTCAGCAAGATAACCAAAGAAAATACTGGATAGGGGTAAACAATTTGCAACTTAAAAAAAAAACACAAGAAAGGAACATGAATCTGGGTCCAAAATTCACATCTAGGTTCTGTCAGTGATAGTTAATATCTATGTGTAAAAAAAAAAAAAAGTCCACAGAACTGGATCCAATTCCTGCACCTTTTTCTCCATACTTGAGGATACGAGTATAAATAAACACAACTGATTCCTTATTAAAACAGGTTTTTTTTCCGATACTTTTTTTGAGTGATAACTAGAAGAAAATCTCAGATCGCAAAGTGAGGTGACAAAGTGAAGCGGAACCCAAGACTTAAAATGATTTCAAGCTCAGTTCTAACTCCTGCAAAGGACGATTTTGTCAACCTCCTTTGCAGTCTGTGGTCTCTCCGAAGACACGAGCACAATTCACAAGGAGACTTTTCCATTTCCTTGGAGCTTCCGCTTCCCCACTTTATAAGGACCCTCCAAAGATGAATGGAAAGAGGCGTCTACGTTTACCCCAATCCAAAACGAACACCCTGCATCCCTTGTGTTAGCTCGAGTCTTAGCCCGGCAATTCGGGAACGAATTTGGCAGACCTGATGCATTAACTTAGAAGTCTCCAAACTTGAGGTCTCCAGCTATGTTAGCTGGAGGATTCCAGGATTTGAAGTCCACGAGCTTTAAAGCTGCCAAGTTTGGGGACCCCTGCATTAACTGCCGGAACCAGCCGAACGACCCACCCGCTCCTAAAAACGTTTCTCCCTGACAATAATCCCAATTCAACTTCGTTTAGGTCGGCAGAGCTGTCACACCTCCGAAAACACGAGCTGCTCGGTTTTAGCCTAGGTGGACAAAGAGAGTCCCTACCTCATCGTTGATCACCTCCGATTGCTCTTCCTCCTCCTCCTCCTCCAGGTCCAAGTCGTTCTGCCGAAGGTAGGCTTGCAACGGCACGCAATGCTTCTTCTTGAAGGCCAAGAAGTCCATCATGTTCCCTTGCAGGTGCTGCAAGAAGAACAGCTCGATCAGGTACTCCTTGAAAGCGTCTTTCAGAGCCTCCGTCTGCTTGAAGTGGTGCTCCAGGCACTGCTTCCTCATCTGAGCGGCTTCTGGGGTGGCTGGGGGGATTTCCTCCACTTTTTTGGGCTTTTTCACCACGGAACAAACCGAAGGGCCTAGCGGGTGGCCGGTTAGTCCTTGAGGGATGCTGGCCCGGGAAGGGCTTGTGGGAGGCGGTGGGGACGTGATGCCGAAAGCAGGACCTCCCACCCCAGCGATTAATCCGGAAGAAGTCCTGTCAAAGCCCAAAGTTCTGTTTGAGGGCTGTCCTTGCTGCTGTTGCTGCTGCTGCTGCTGTTGCATCCCTTGGATGATGTTGCTGATCTGTGGCGGCAGGTTGCTGGTGGTAATGTGTCCGGGGTTGGGCAAACCTTGGATAGTTCCTCCGCTAGTCACGGGGCTCTGAGGTCCGAGATGGTGGATGGTCCCTCCGGTCTGAGAATGGGGCTGGGACAGCCTGCGTTCTCGGACAGTCGCCGAGGTGCCCGAGGACGAGAGCTGGACCTGAGCCGTGGCGCTTTGAGCGATCTGGGCAAGGCCGGATCCTTCCTGATAGACGAAGTGCCCTCCGCCATTCGAAGGGCTCAGGCTGATCTGCCTCACCAACACGCTGGCGTCCACGAAGCCTCGCGTCGGGCTCTGGCTGCACATGCCCAAGCCGGGGCCCGGCGTGCCTGCTCGGACGCTCGATAGGGTCTGAACGGACACCGGGCAGGGCTGGGTGGGGCTCTGCGACTGGACCTGAGGGGGCAACGGAGAAGTGACCTGGATGTAGGAGGGGGATCCATGCTCGAACCGCCTTTGTTGAGGGCTGAACTGAAAACCGGGGGAGGTCGGGCTCGGGATCGGCAACGGGGTCAGGGTGATCTGCTGGCTGGCAGTAGAAACGGGTCCCACATTCTGCAAGGTGATGTTCACGTTCTGCCCTGCAACTGGGCTGCGGCTCATGATAAACTGCTGGATCTGGTAGCTGGGAGACTGAGGGGCAGAAGGGCTGGCCGAAGGAGCGAAGGAAGGCGACAGGGACTGCGGCAAGTTGGCCTGCTGATCTTCGCTCTCGCTGCCGGTGAAGGATCGGGACCTCTGGAGCTGGCGCTGTGCATTTTGTGAACCGGTCCCATGGTGCATTATCGCGCTGACAGCAGCCTCGAGTTCTAAAAGGAGATGGGAGACAACGTTCCATTAGGGCAGGGATTCCCAACCTGGGAGGGGGGGCAAGACAATATTCCAGGGGGTGCGATTTCAGCAATTGACGATACTGGAAGCATCCTTGTCAATTTGAAATTGTACTCTCCAGAAAGGGTGGCCCATTTAAATCCTTATTTAAAAAAACTAAAAAATATTACTTCTGGCAGGGAACAAACCTACACATCATCAATAAGACTGAGAGCTCTTCGTTTCAAATCCCAGCTCAAATAGGACAGAACACCTTGATCAGATGCGAGATAACTGTAAGAGTGCTGATCTATTATGAACTTTCATTTTCCTTTTTACCTGTTTGCATCTTTGTATTAGTTGGATAGAGTCAACTGACTTGATTAATAATATTCTCTTCTTCTATTTCACCTTAGACTACATTAACTTACTGTTCTATCTTCACTTTATCTGACATTTTATCTTGTTTTATCTCACATCACTGTATCTTATTTCATTTTACTCTATTGTACTGTGCCCGATGCTCATCTTTGATATGGTCCATTGCCTTAATTAAGTCTTCTCGTTCCCTTCCTCCTCTTCTACTTTCTTTTACTATTTGATCTTATTCCTTTTACCCTCACTTTATCTTACCTACTACATTTTATCCTATTTTATCTCACTGTAGCTGTTCTATCTTCCTTCACTTTATCTTATCTCATTTTATTCTATTTTACTGTGCCTGTTGCTCATCTTTGATACAATTCATTGGCTTAATAAAGTTGTCTTCTCCTTACATCCTTCTCTTTCCATCCTTCCTCTTTCCCTTTTCTTCCCCTTCCCCTTATACTATTCGATCTTACTCCTTTTATCTTCCTTTACCTACTACATTTTATCCTCTTTTCTCTTACTATAGGCTGTTTTATCTTCCTTCACACAGAGTCCTATTTTACTCTATTTTCCTGTGGCCAATGCTTTTCTTTAATACGGTCCATTGACTTAAAATAATGTTCTTCTTCCGTTTTATACTATTCGATCTCACTTTTTTTAAAACCTCCACTTCAGGGGTCTTCAAACTTGACAGCTTTAAGACTTGTGGACTTCAACTCCCAGAATTCCTCCTCCAGTCATGTTAGCTCAGGAATTCTGGGAGTTGGAAGTCCACAAGTCTTAAAGCTGTCAAGTTTGAAGACGCTTGCTCCACTTTATCTTACCTGCTATCTTTTATCCCTTTTTATCTCATCTCAGCTGTTTCATCTCCCCCCCACCTTCACTGTATCTTATTTCATTTTATTCTACTTCACTGTGGCTGATGCTCTTCATGGATACGGCCCATTGACTTAAAATAAAGTTCTTCTTCCATTTTATACTATTCAATTTCACTTTTTTAAAAAAACCTTCACTTTATCTTACCGGCTACACTTTATCTTATTTTATCTCACCTCGGCTGTTGTATTTTCCCCCTTCGCTGTATCTTGTTTCGTTTTCTTCTACTTCACTTTGGCTGATGCTCATCTTTGATATGGCCCATTGACGTAATAAAGTCGTCTTCTCCTCTTTCCATCCTTCTTTCCTTTTCTCCTCCTTCACCTTATACTATTTGATCTCACTTTTTTTTAAACGGCCACTTTATCTTACCTGCTACCTTTTATCCTATTTGATCTCACCTCGGCTGTTGTATCTCCCCGCTTTCACTGTATCTTATTTTATTCTACTTTTATTTTATTATTCTACTCCACTGTGGCTGATGCTCATCATGGATACGGCCCATTGACTTAAAATAAAATTCTTCTTCCATTTTATACTATTCAATCTCACTTTTTTTTAAAAAAAAACCTCCCTTTTTTTTTCTTACCGGCTACACTTTATCCTATTTTATCTCACCTCGGCTATTGTATCTCCCCTCTCCCCATCTTCACTCTATCTTACTTTATTCTACTTCACTGTGGCTGATGCTCCTCTTGGATACGGTGCATTGACTGATCAATTATCCAGGGCATCATATATATATTATCCTATAGGGACCCCAGCAACCTGTTGAGTCCAGAGAGGACCGTTAATCGTGGCCGTTCACCCTAAACAGGATGCAGAGCAAACAGCCCAGAAAGGCAGCCGGTCTCCGAGTCCAGCAAATAAGCCTTCCATAACTAGGGGGTTAAAAAAAAAAACGCGTTCGCCTTTCCCGCAACTTCACCTTTTTGGCCTTTGCCGCTTCCCGTTATTTCTGTCAGCAGGCGCGCGGACGCCTGGGAGGAGGGGAGGGGGGGGGGAAGAGCGGGGACCGTAACGTTCCTTTCCGTGAGGCCTAAGCCGCCTGCCTTCCCACCCGCGGCCCCGCTGCTTACCTTTTTTTTTTTTTTTTTTTTTACGCCTCCCGCCGCGTCGGCTCTCGGGAAGCCGGAGCGCGCGAGCGAAGCGTCCGCCGATGCTCAGCGAAGACGGCCCGCTCCGAGCCGGGCCCAGCCTCGGCCATCCGCTCCTGACAGGAAACGGATTGAAGGCGCGGGGAGGAGCCTGACGAAAGGGAGGAGCTTGAGGAAGAAAACAAAAAAGGGCGCATGCGCCAGCGGACGAGCGCCGGCAAGGGACAAAAAAGAAAAAAGCATCACGAAAACGACGGGATTTTTTCCCCCCCTTCCTTTGCAATTGTGTAGCGGGCTTGGAAGAAATTAGTGCGCATGCGGAAAGAGACCCCGCCTGGCTTAGGGACGAAACGGGAAGGAAGCAAGGGCAAGAAGTCAGCACTCCGCATGCGCAATGGGGAAGCGTTGCTAATTAAAAGGAATTAACTCCTGCATTTTCTAAATAAGCAAATGGGGTTTTAGGATTCTCTTGAGGAGATTCGTACTCTATTGATCCCTCTATTCATGCATTCTTGAATGCATTCTATTGCAAAAGAATACAATAGAAAATGGACTATTTTTTATTTCATGTGGAAAGATAAGCTGGCTGCCCTGACTTTTACAGTGAACAATATTTATTAAGACTAAATTTAATATTTAGGAGGACTAAACCTCTGGTCCCAATGACCGATCCAGATTGGATCTTGCAATATTAAGTTTTTATAGAATAGAATTCCTTATTGGCCAAGTGTCATTGGACACACAAGGAGTTTGCCTTGGTGCAAATGCTCTGAGTTATGCTGTCCATCTATCACTCTGCAAAGCAACTTAGGGTGGCTAATACGAGTGGGACATTCTTTATTGTTTGCATGGGCTTTTGCTTTGCAGAAATTGGACTCAAATCAGGAAAACTTCAAACCTGAAAGATAGGCATGTATGCTGCAACTCTGGAGTTGACTTCTTGTGTGCCATCAATTCCTAGTTTTCATTTCCTACTCACCACATAAGATTTTCCATAGAGAGTGGTAAGAGCAGTCAAGATTATAGAACACTCGCTTCCTGTTATTCAGAATGCTGCTTATTAACTGCTGTGCTTGGACTTCAAAGCATTGTTAGAGACCCCACATACCCACTCCACGGTCTGTTTCTATGCCTCCCTCTGGGAGGAGGTTTCAAAGGATTTCTAGCAGGACTACCAGATTCTATAACAGCTTTGTACCCTATGCCATCCATCTGGTAAACTCACAAGATTCATTTTTCTCACCATAAACACGTATACATCCAAATGGTGCGGTTTGTGTCATAGATGGGGGTATACGCATATCGGAGGTGGTGACCCTTTGAGAGCTGTATGCCATGAAATTTCATTTTAATGTATAATGATTAGTGTACATTTAAAGTGACGGTAAAGTTATTCTAAGCCTTTCTCCCAGATAATTTATCTCTGACCTGGTCCTTTAGTTCTTCCCCCATCAGTCCAGTAACTTGAGTCTGTCCATACTAAATTTGCAGATGATACAACAGTGGTGGACTCCTCCCTGGGGAGTGGGGGTGGTGGTGGACCGGTTGCTTTCGTGGCGTGGAGACAATAACTTGGTCCTCAACACCAATAAGACTAAGGAGCTTATAGTGGACTATAGAAGGAACAGATCGGACATCCAGCCCTTGCTTCTCAATGGAGACCGAGTGGAGCAAGTGGCCAGTTTTAAGTTTCTGGATGTTACCATAAAAGACGACCTGACCTGGGGTGCTCACATTGCAGCCCTGGTCAAAAGGGCCCAGCAGAAATTATACTGAGACTTCTCAGAAAACAACTGAATGAAAAACTGCTGCTGACCTTCAACTGCTGCACCGTAGAGAGTATCTTAACTTACTGCACCTCGGTATGGTTTGCCAATTGCACAGGGGCAGATAGGACAGCGCTCCAGAGGGTTAAAAGATCATTGCCCAGGGGATCATGGGTTGCCCTCTCCCCTCTTTGGAAGAGCTTTATAGCTCCCGCTGCCTTAAGAAAGTTCAAAACATCCTCAAAGATCCACCTCATCCTGGGCACCCTTTTTTTTAACCTATTACCATCTGGCAGACGGTACAGGACAATAAAAACAAGGACAAATAGGCTGAAAAACAGCTTCTATCCCAGGGCAATAACTATTGAATTCTACTGCATAGTGCAATATTCAATTTTTCCATTCACTGTATAGAATGTGAAGAATGTGTGTTTTATTTTCAAAGTCATAATGTACACTGAAGATTGTATTTAATTTCATTGTACGAGGTGCAATGACAATAAACTAACCTAAACTAAACTTGGTGTCCGTCATAACCTCCTTCTCTTTCCACCTTTCTCACCGTTATAAACTGAGCATGCTGGCTGGCACGGTTAGAATGCTGGGTTGGTGGTTAGAAAGCTTGGGTTCGAAACCTGAGAGCTGCTGTGTGTCAGGGTGAGCTCCTTTCACTCCAGCTCCTTGCAGGGACATGAAAGGACTGCCCCGCCCCCCGCCCCAACCAGGGTTCCCGGGGCAAAGATGCCAGCCGCTAATCCTTTCAACCCGGGGGCACTTTAAACAATGACGCCAAGACCGATACCATTTTCTCATGTGAGCTGAGCCTTATGTGCCATTGGCAACTTTAAAAAAAAAAGTTTCAAACAAGTTCAGACACAATCATCCTGTTAAAATCCAGTTTATTCCACTGCAATTACAGATTATAGATTTGGACAGATGGGATGTTTAAATAAGACACACCCTAATGTCACTTTTCCAGACCTCTAAAATTCTGTCCTGAACAGGGTAGAATTTTATCAGGGTAGCCACCAGGAATTTCATGCAAGAACCAAAAGAAATTTGTAGATAGGACAGATAGAACAATCTGGCCTACAATGTGATCCTATCTAACCCTACCTCAAGGGACTGATGATATCCTATCTCATCCTAAACCGCGATACAGCTTGGTTTTGGATTCTGCGTGCCTCTGCCACTGTTAACTTTTGTTTTAAAACGTGTGACTTAGGAAAACCACACTGCTTTTTTACGTGGGCCTCTCAAACAGCTACGCTTCTTAATGATATCCCAACATTCAATGCTCCTAACACAGGCCAATTCCTTCCAATGTTTAGAGGTCACAAGCCAGTTAATTCAAAGGACTCACTCATATTCTGCCCGTATTCCAAAGGAGAGAACCTTGGTATGACCTTGTGAAGAACTGAAGATCAATACATTATTTATACTGCTGGCATTTGTTCTGGAGATCCAACTGTGATCGTTATGTAAGTGTGACTGGCATTCGGTCGGTGCTGTCCATCATGAGGATCACAGTTAGAATCAAAGTGCCTAGAATAGAAAAAGAACAGAAACAGAAATTCCTAAATTATGCATTTAGTAAGCCAGATATGAGATAATTTACTGCTCCCCAGTCAATCAACAGGTAACAAAAGGAATGTTTGTTCCAACTGTAAGCCTCAAAGGGGATGAAGTCCCCTTCTGGACATCCAGTTCAGAAACACTTTCACTGTATCCTCAGGCAATGCCAAGGCACTCCATGGGTTGTGGAGCCTCTGGAGTAAGGCTGAGGAAAAGCAGGAGATTTATGCGATTAATATTCTGATTATTGCACCATTCATAAATCTCTCATGTAGATTTTAAACCTGAACTGTTTTTATTAGGTACTAGCTAGATACCTGTGCTTTGCTATGAAACTATGTGGTCGGGCTTAGTCTTGGGGGAGGAAAATAAGGGGAAAAAACTCTGCCTCTGCCTACCAGCATCCATCGGTATTCATCTGGCTAACATCCTGTCAGTATGTGAGAGCGTTAAGGGCTGTTTGGAAACTGAAACAGTATTTGCTGTGTAAGCAAGGAGACAGCAAGGAGCCTGGCCATGGCCTAGCTCAAGTGTTCTGTACTAAAGCTGCTTGGTGCTGTGAAACTAAAACTGAAACTCCTCTGCTTGTGTTTTGCATTTGGAACAGATTTCTTTTCAGATGGGGAGGGGGAGTAGAACTCCTTAGCATCAGAGCGTGTTCATAATAATAATAATAATAATAGTAATATAGGAAATACTCTAAGTGCTCTGATGGTCATTTCTAAAAATCCTTTCTTAGTGAGCACCTAGAAGCCAAAAGGAACATATGGGCCAAATTTCAAGTTTGTAGACTTTACATTTCTGGAGATTTTGAGATGATGCATGAGTGGTATTTCACTTTTATATATATATAAATAAAAGAAAAATAATATCATAAAAATAGATAAAGAAACTAATATTACATGTAACAGCAGCGAGGATTATATTTGCATAATAACTAGACTGTGCAGAAATTGATAGATTGGCATTGAAAATTAAGCAGAAAGAAGACACAGAACAGGTATTAAACATAGAATCTATGTTACCAGTGGTTGGGGAAAAAAGGGGTGGAGATTAAGAATATAATCAGAATTGCTAAGCAAATTAAATAACCAGACAACAAGTTTAAGCACTAAGAAATGTAATTAATACAAAACCAGTAAAATTTAAAAAAAAAGCTCTCTCAACAAATGAGCTCATGATGGAATTAATCTATCTTATATTAATTATTCCATTTTCACATCCTTGGATCCCAAATCAGCCCAACCCAGATACCTGTGCTGAACCCATGATGGAATTAAATTTATTTGCTTATTAATGTATATTTATAAAACCACGCCTTTCCTCCAAAGGGCTCTGGGAGGCTTGCAAACAATTAAAACTATAAAAACAATTCCAAAGAGCCATAAACCTATTGAAAAGCAAGCAAAAAACAAGCATGTTAAAAAACCATAAAATACATATAAAATTCACACCCTACAAATCCATTCAGCCATTCCACTGGCTGAAAATTTCACTTATATTTATATATACTTTTTAAGTTTCCACCAGCCAGGAAAATGTCCTTCCTTATTGTTTAAAAAAATGAATTTAATCCTCATTTTTTAAAAAAATTTAATCTACTTACTAGTTCTATCCATTTTTTTCCTCCCGTGCAAACCTCATGTCGCCAAGTTTGCTCAAAAGCGCGAGCTCTTCATGTGGGGGAAAGAGCTATTCTATTGGTCGAATCCAACGTACAGCTCCGGTAGCGCAGGCGCAACGTATGGGGGAAAATCTTCGTAAACGGGAGGGAATAACTAGCAAAACACGATTCCCGCTACGGAAACCAAGATGGGACAAATACTGTGGGGGGAAAAAAAAGCGAATTATACACGTTCGCCTGTCCTCAACTCAACTCAGATTAACAGTTAGAAGGGACCTTGTAGGTCATCTAGTCCAACACCCCCCACCCCCTCCAAGCAGGAGACCCTACACCATTCATTCATTCTTGAGTTATATTTAAAAATAAGAGCTGCAGGAATGTGAAATTCTGATTTTTCAAGCTGGCACAAGGAGAATAACAAAAAGGTGGATTCTATCATGGAGATTGTAGGTTTTGTTCTTCAGATTCCCCTCCAAGAGATAAAGGTGTTTTTTTTTTAAACCGGATCATTATTATAAACATTTTCCAACAGTTTTCCAACAAACTGCCTCCCCCACGGTCATGCATTTTGCTCATAAAAATGTACTGACATAAATAATTGGATTAAAACCCCAATTCACCAAATAAATGATAATAGCCATTCATTTGCAGCTAAACTGTTCCTTTATTCTGTTTTTGTTGGGGAATTCATAATCATCCATATACTCATCCTTGACTTGCAAATATTCAGTAACTTTTTTCAGTGTTGTCATAACTTCGAATGGTCACTAAATAAATACGTCGACAACTACCTGGACTGCTAGTCACCTAGTAAGCAAAACAACAGCATTCTGATTTCTTTTTCTTGATGGCTTCCAAATCTTAAAATGTCCTCTGACCTTCCCCCAGATCAACAACGTTATGGCAGCATTACGTGCAACCTGGATTAGAAATCATTTTTAAAAAAACCTTTGCACTTTGTGTCATAAGAAGCCTTTATTATTATTACTATTTCATAAGGAGCACTAAAAAAACCCTAAAATAGACAGTTTTCTAAAAAATGGAGATGAAACCCAGTTGTTCCAACCCAGAGTTTGTTTCAACCACCACATTATTTGGTCTATGAGAAAGTGGAAATTTAAAAAAAAAAATTAAAATATTGTTTTTACAAAAGGAAGTAAGTTTCCAAAAACCTTATTACTTGGCTGAGCCGATAATCACGGAAAGCTTTCCAAAAGAACAATTAATTTTGGCTGTTGGAAAAACCAAAAGGGAACAGCATTCTTAACGCCTTGCACTTATCTGTACGAGTCCGATAACTATTTTTCTCCAACATGTTTTTAAAAATTATTTTTTATCGAACATAATTAAAGTAGTTTTTTTTTTCAAGCTAGCGTTGTCTCCACTGCTGCAGAGAGGACGAGAAATGTAACTTCTGTCCTTGTTCATCTGTGTTCCAAGCCTAAGAACACCCATCATTGAAAAAAGCTTGATTTTTCAGGCCAAAGAATTGTGAATCCATAATTATCAAAGTGTGCCTGGAATCCTCAATCAGAATTGTCTTCACATCCATCGCTGCCTTCAGGATCAGACTGAAAGAAGCAAAGAAACACTTTAATTCTTCAGTAGAAATTCTCCATCATCCAGGTCATTACTGTCCCCAAAGTGGGGTTCCTTGTGTGCCCAATCATACTTGGCCAATAAAGCATTCTATTCCAAGTCAACTAGGTCACAGATGTCTCAAAGGTGCTTTCAAAAAGGCAACTGGACTTCCTTCAACAATGACTCATCCAGTTCTCTTTTTGACAGCACCTTTGGGACATTCTTATATTCTGCTTTCTCCAAGAACCTCCATGGAATCTCCATCAGCGTCTCCCATCATGTTATCCCCACAATGATAAATCCGTGGGCTGAGAAAGACCCAACATTACCCAGATAACTTAGTCAAGATGGGACTTCAATATGAGCCTCACCACGTCTAGTCCAGCCCCATCACCGCTGAACCCCCCTGGTCCTTGGGCTGAGAAGGAGGGAGCCCAAATCGTTTCACCTTACCTTGGCATCTCTGGTGTCTTCCTGTAGCCTTGAGATGGTGGAATCAAACTGATGGTTGAAGAGCGTCTCCAGCCAGTTCATCATGGACTTTTCTTCCTTCTCCGTGTTGATAATGGTGGGGTAGATGTGCTGCTCTTTGAAAGCCGCAATCTTCCCCTCTTCTTCTGCCCATTCCAGGGCTTCGTGGAGACCGTCGTCCCCAAACCGTTGGTTGTAGCTCTCAAAGTGGACCCGTTCCAAAATCAGGCCCAGCCCAGGAGCCTTGGGGATGTCTACCTTCTCCTCTCCCCAGCTCTGCTCCATGATGGATTGGGTGGCGTGGCCCTTGACAATCGCGACCACCAAGCCGATCATTTTCCGGATCTGGTGCATCATGAAACTCTGTCCTTTCACCTTCACTACCGCGAACTCCACACCGTCCCTCACGAAGGGCTCCTCGCAGAACATCTCCATGATGTAACGCTTGGCGCTGGGGTCCTTGGGGCCCTTCTGGGAGGTGAAGTTATGGAAGTTGTGGGTGCCTCTGTAGCAAGCCAGGAGGTCGTTGACAGTGTCCAAAGTCTCAGCACTCATGCGGTAGGTTTCACACGGAGAAGCGTCATCCTTGTGGGCAAAGGCAAACGTCGGCAGCATGTACGAATAGGTCCGGGCATCGCATCTGTTCTTGGAATTGAATTTTCCAGTCACTCTTTTCAGCCCTGTTTTTTTGTTTATTAGACAAAACTTTAGGACAATGTCAACTTCAGGTCAATCTTTGTAATTTTTTCACAACTAGACAGGATCCCCCAAATACAAGAACTTACACCAAGGGCCTTCAAACTTTGCAAGTTTAAGACTTGTGGACTTCAACTCCCAGGAATTCTGAGCTAATAGGACTGGAGGAGGAAGAATTCTGGGAGTTGAAGTCCACAAGTCTTCAAGCTGTCAAGTTTGAAAACCCCTGAATTCTATCTCATCTGTATTTTTTATCTATCTATCTATCTATCTATCTATCTATCTATCTATCTATCTATCTATCTATCTATCTATCTATCTATCTAATCCAAGGGTCTTCAAACTTGCCAAGCTTAAGACTTGTGGACTTCAACTCCCAGAATTCCTGAGCTAACATTACTGGAAGAGGAATTCTGGGGGTTGAAGTCCACAAATCTTAAAGATGTCAAGTTTGAAGACCACTGACTTACACCATAGTACGGGCCTTTTAATAATAGATTAAATGCTGAATTGAAGTGGAATGCCCAAACCTGATTAAAAGGGGTTTCCTTAAAAAGGAATCTCTTGGGATGATCTGAATCTAGATTTGATCGGATCAAAAATGTTATCAGAAATGGTATAGGGTTTCCTGCCTGAGCAGGAGGTTGGACTAGAAGACCTCCCAAGGTCCCTCCCACCTCTGTTATTCTAAAAGTGTTATTCTAAAATTTTGGGTATCTTGGGAACCAGCATTTATTTTCAACAGGTGCAGTGTCCTAGGGCAGGGGTTCCCAACCTCTGGGCCATGAGGGTTTTTTCCCTAAACCTTCCCACCCCCCAAAAAAGAATGCAAATGACCAGCTTGTCTGCAAGGAGTATCAATCCTTCCATTCCCACCATCCAGTCAAGAGCTGAAGAAGCTTCTTGGATGAGAAGCAAAATGTCTTCAAAGAAAAACAAAGAAAGTCCAGTTGCCCCCTGAAAAAGCTCCTTTAGACAACCATGACCTGGATGACTTGAATCTCCACAGAGACACCCCCCCCCCATCCAAGTTTCTTATGTCTTATAATTCCAAAGCGCTTATACTCCCTTACCTAAAATTCTTATGTGAGAAGGAAGATGCTCGTTAATCTTCTGTAAAATATCGTCGATCAGCCAGACCTTCAAGGAAACGATCTGTCCGGCCGCAGACACGCCCTGAAATTTTCACACACACCCCCCAAAAAAAGAAAGAAAAAAGAAATTAAATAAAAATTAGGAACAATAGAACTGGGCAGAATTGGTACATCGGATAAAAAGGCCACTGAATCCCATTTCAAAGAACCTTTGTAACTCAATTTACATTTCGCAGACTTGAAAATATTAAACGTTAAAATTAAGTCCCAGGGGGAAAAAAAAGCGGTTCATTTAAAAAACCACCTGTCAACTCATAAAACATTTTTAATGGCCGTTTTATAGTTGCCAACAGAAAGTGGGGGGGAGGGGGAAGGCGGGGGCAGCGGCGAGAAAGAGGTTTGAAAGAGCAGTGCGGCCACTTGGAAACTGAAAGTGCATTCCATGCATAGTTTTTCAGGGATTGTAAGTAGGTGACTGAAGTTTCTGCCGCCCAAAAACTTAACTGGAGAACATGATTGATGACTCTTGGCTATGGATGTGTCTCATTGGAGAATATGAATTATGATACACTCGGGGGGGGGGAAACCAGGGTCAAGGGTGACAGTGAATTATGGGCCTCAGAGTCGGCTACACCCAGCTGGACATGTTAATTCCTAATAAATCCTCTTTAGTTTTGGATGTTGGCTTGAGACTCATGATTTAATTGGGGTAACTGCCGGGATCTTGACAACCACCTTTTCAGCACAATCTTTAATTCCCCATCATTAAACCAATGGTCACTGAAGTCAAAAGCTACCAGTATTACCTTATCTGTCCGGGCACATCTCTGAAACGACATTTTCTTCATGTCTTCTCCGTGGTTTTCCGGAATACATCCGGATTTTATGAGGGCTGATACCAGGTCATCCTCAATTGTCCTGTACTGGGAACTTTTCACGTTGCGCTGAGAGGGGGAAAAGAGAGAAATGAATGTATTTTTTTTCCCCACGAATGCCATCACTCTGCTAAACAACTAATTCCTACAACACTGTCAAACTACTTAGTAAGACTGCATTACTATTCTTCTTCTCGTCATTCCTAGTACCTATCTCTTCCCATTTATGACTATAACCGTGTTGCTTGTATCTTTACAATTGTTTTGTTTCCTCGTATGATTTGATGGCTTGCTAGTAAGCTATGACTATCACTAAGTGTTGTGATTCTTGATGAATGTATTTTTTTAATTTTCTTTATGTACACTGAGAGCATTTGCACCAAGACAAATTCCCTGTGTCACACTTGGCCAAGAAAGAATTCTATTCTATTCTATTCTATTTCTATTCTATTCTGCTCATATTCTATTCTATTCTGCTCATATTCTATTCTATTCTATTCTATTCTATTCTATTCTATTCTATTCTATTCTATTCTATTCCTATTTATTCCATTCCATTCTCCTTCCTCTATTCTCTTCTCTTTTACACTCTTTACACGATGACACTTGAAGATATTCCAAGCCTACATTCTACATTTTCCTGAAAATATGACCTACCCTGAAAGTAAGTCCTGGCTTGATTTTTTTACACATGCGCCAATGTAAGTCCTACCCCCAAAATAAGCCCTAATTAAGACACCACCCACCCCAGAGTGCATGGATAAAAGTTAAGCTAGGGTGGGAATGGGGGATTTGGGGGGTGGGGGGGTGGAGCTGCCCTACTAGTTACTTTTGGACAGTTGTAGCCAAGCCTCGGACACCCCGATACCTGCCTTGCCGGCCCATTTCTTCTGCACAGCCGGCAAGGCTTTCCTGAAGGCCTCTAGCTGATAATAAAGCTCAGGATCGATCCAGAGCTCTGTTATCAGCTGCAGAGGCCTTCAGGGAAGCCTTGCTGGCTGCAGAAAAAGAAGTTTATGAAGCGAAAAGGAGTCCGGGAGCAATGCATCCAAGTGAAGTCAGTCAGTGGATGACTTCCCCAGAAAGTAAGACCTGGTGCTTTTTTTGGGGTGGCAAAAATAAAAATATAAGACAGGGTCTTATTTTCGGGAAAACCCAGTAAGTCATTCCCACATGCCATTATATCCAGGCGCTCACCTGCATTCCATGGTAACCTTTCCCACAATACACCAGCAACAGCACAACTTTCTTTTTCGGGAACTTCCTTGTCTCGTCCTTGGCCTCTTCCCCGTTGTCCTTCAGCCTTTTGGCTTCGTGTCCGTTCTCCTCCTGCTTCCGGGGCTCCTCCCTCGGCCTCTTCGCCAGGCTGTGTTCCATACTTCCTAGCTGCTCAGCCATTGCAAGACACTGGAAGAGTCCACAACAAAACCCCGCAAAAATTGCGCAGTTTAATGGAAGGGTAGATGCCTCGTTGCAATGCTAGTTAGGTATGCTAGTCAAGTACAGTTGCAACGCCACTCAGGGACAGTTGAAATGCTAGTTATAGCTACCATGCTAATTAAGTATACGTGCCATGCTAGTTACGTACAGTTGCTGTATTGGTAGGCACAGTTGCAACAAAAGCACAACAAAAAATGTCTTTCCTGCAACAACTCAGGAAGCTCAAACTGCCCAAGGAGCTGCTGATCCAGTTCTACAGAGGAATGATTGAGTCTGACACCTGCACCTCTGTAACTGCCTGGTTCGGCTCTGCGACCCAACAGGACAGACACAGACTTCAGAGGATAATTAGGACTGCAGAGAAAACAATTACTACCAATCTGCCTTCCATAGAGGACCTGTCTACTGCACGAGTCAAAAAGAGGGCTGTGAAAATATCTACAGACCCCTCACATCCTGGACATAAACTGTTTCAACTCCTTCCCTCAAAACGACGCTATAGAGCCCTGCACACCAGAACAACTAGACACAAGGACAGTTTTCTCCCCGAAAGCCATCACTCTGCTAAACAACTAATTCCCTCAACACTGTCAAACTATTTACTAAGACTGTATTGCTATTCTTCTTCTTATCCTTCCCATTACTTATCTCTTCCCACTTATGTCTATAACCCCATTGTTTGTATCTTTACAACTTATTGTGGATTTTTTGTTTTCCTAGTATGTTTTGATTGTGTATTAGTAACCTATCACTAAGTGTTGTATCTTACGACTCTTGATGAATGTATTTTATTTTTTCTTATGTACACTGAGAGCAGATGCACCAAAGACAAATTCCTTGTGTGTCCAATCACACTTGGCCAATAAAGAATTCTATTCTATTCTATTCTCATTTCATTCTCTTCTCTTCTCATTTCATTCCCTATTCTATTCTATTCTCATTTCATTCTCTTCTCATTTCATTCCCTATTCTATTATATTCTCTTCTCATTCCCTATTCTATTCTATTCTCATTTCATTCCCTATCCTATTCTATTCTATTCTAATTCTCATTTCATTCCCTATTCTAATATATTCTATTCTATTCTCATTTCATTCTCTTCTCTTCTCATTCCCTATTCTATTCTATTCTAATTTCATTCTCTTCGCTTCTCATTTCATTCCCTATTCTATTCCCATTTTATTCCCTATTATTTTATTATATTCTCTTCTCATTCCCTATTCTATTCTATTCTATTTCTATTCTATTCTATTCTATGCTAGCTACAGTTGCAAGGCTAGCTAGCTATAGTTGCAATGCTAGTTAGGTATAGTAGAAGCGCTAGCTAGGTACAAGTGCCATGGTAGTTAAGTACAGTTGTAATGCTAGTTAGGTACACAAGGGTACAAAAAGAGAACCCACACATAAGGGTGGATTTTAACCTGCTCTGCAGCTCCCACTCTGGTCTCTGCATTGCTTGTATAGAATATAAAATAATGAAAGGGTCTTCTTGAAGGACTTCTAACTCAATCCCCATGGCTCAAGCCACAGACCTCCTACCATCCGGAGAAATAGCTGCCCAGTATAAATACAAACACAAATAAAATACACATCTCTGTTTAGAGCTGAAAAGCAGGCAGGCAGTTTTGTAGGAAAGAATGGTTAAAGAGAAACCATGCCCACCTTAGTATTTAGTATTTACTTGATTTGTCAACAGCATTGCATGGATCCAAAAATGAAAATAGGAGGGGGAAGGAGAATCCTGAAAATGTGGAAGAGAAGGAGGGAGGGAGAAAAAGATGGGAGGTAGGGAAGAAGAGAGAAAGAAAGAGGGAGGGTAGGAAAGTAGGCAGAGGGAGGAAGGAAAGGAAAGAGATGGGATGAAGGGAGGGAGGAGGTGAGAGGAAGGGAAGGAAGGAAAAGAGATGGGAGGGAAGAGAAAAAGATGGGATGAAGGGGTGGTGAGAGGGAGGGAGGAAGAGGGCG